GGTTTGGAGGTTCACTTCACCAGGAACATAATTCATTAAATTTGGAGGTTCACTTCACCGACAACATAATTCATTAGATTTGGAAGTTCACTTCACCAGGAACATAATTCCTAGGTTTGGAGGTTCACTTCACCAGGTAATGAATTATGTTGGTTTGGAGGTTCACTTCACCAGGAACATAATTCATTAGGTTTGGAGTTTCACTTCGCCAGGAACATAATTCATTAGGTATGGATGTTCACTTCACCAGGAACATAATTCATTAGGTTTGGAAGTTCACTTCACCAGGAACATAATTCATTAGGTTTGGAGATCCACTTCATCAGCTACTGAAGTGTTTATTCGCGTCATGTAATAAGATATTCATTGCATATTTATTCGAGTAACGTTGACCAATAAGTACTTTATTCTCTGGTTGTTAGTTATTAGTAGCTTGACTAGTTAGGTTTAATACTTTACGAGTTCTCTTGTTGCAGAATTTCTTGTATTATTTTTTTTCTCAAAATTTTAAGAGATAATCGATAAAAACAATATTCAATGACAACAAATATTCCCATTTGGTACTATAATGATGTAGAATTATATACCATATGGGAATACTGAAATAAATCTCGTACACAGAGTTTCCTTCTAAATTAAAAACTTTGTGAATATAACTTACAACAGACCTTATATATCTACGTAAAAAGTGATCATTACACGTCATTAAAATTAGGCCTATATTAAATAAACAAGAACCCACCTTTTTCTTCGTGCCATTAAGATACTCCTTGTACATATCTGAGCGAAGATACCTTTGGTAACTGTCGTTTTTCATTAAATGGTATAAGTGCGCCTACAAAACGCAAAGAGGTAATTTTGGGGTTCTAAATATCAAGGATTACATTTCAATTCAACATTTCGAAACAACTTTAGATATTTCGGATATACCCGAATTAGTAGTGAAAACAACAACAACACAATTCTTTATCTTCCCTCATTCGAAAACCAACAGTATACTTTTGAGGTAACATATAATAATGACTAATACAATTAAGCCCTTGAACAAATGTTGTCCTCCAAAACGTAGAATAACGTTCGCGTTCGCCTTACTAACTTAAAAGGTTATTTCTTTTATTTCGGATACCCCACAAAGCTAATCAAGGACTTAAAACTTGTGAAGTTTTTCACTTAATATTAATAATTCAAATTAATTTGGGTATGTGAATAATTATAGAACCTACAGTCTGAAGGCTTATTACGCTAAAAACTTGGTTTCGATACCCATGGTGGGCACAACACAGATAGTCCATTGTGTGTAGCTTTATGGTTAACAGTAAACAACCATACTAAAGTCTACAGCAGAGGGCGAATCAAAGAACATGTTAGGATGATACATCATGAATTGTATTTTATGTTCTACCTTTGGTGAAAGGAAAACAAATCTGTCATAACTCTGGGCAAGGACTATCTGCACTAGTCAACCCTCATTTTAAACTGAAAGAATACTTGGCAGTATTGCAGTTTATAAAAATCCATGGTCTCAAACAGCGGGACTTGAGCCGTGGACAATGGGATTCACAGTCCGGCACGTTAATCACTAGGCTACGCCCATCTTGGTTATTTAATACTGAATTAGTTATGACATGAGATAAACAAGAATATGAATTTAATCGAAGTTATCATTATCTCTTGATCGACTATAAAATGAACTGAATCTACAAATTTGTTTTTAAATAAACCATCACTGTGGTCGAATTCAAAATTTCGCTGTTTCATAGACAATTGAGTGTCCCATGCTTAAACTCATAATTTTTTTCTCTAGAAGTAACATACAACGATAAAACCTGAGGTTCGATTCCACGCGGTGGACACAGCAGTAAAATATACGAACAAAATAATACACTTAACAAGTCCGCGAGAAACCTGCCAGTTCCAAAGAAGAAGAAGAAAAAAACACAATAAAAGCAATTTACAGGGTAAAAAAAAAACATTTTCATGTTTCTCGAATTTTAGAATAACACTAAGTTTTTTTTATATGGAACTAAACGTTCAGTACTTACAGCAGCCTCGTCAAAAGTCCACCTATCAGGGGTTTCCATGTTCTTCTTGGTAAGCTCATAGCTTTTGGAATCGATGTTAATAGGAAAGTTAGCATCTGGTGCCAGGAACTCACTGATAGAATACAATATAACATTATGTATTAGTGTAGGAGCTTACCGTTAATACAGTACAATATAACATTATGTATTAGTGTAGGAGCTTACCGCTAATACAGTACAATATAACATTATGTATTAGTGTAGGAGCTTACCGCTAATACAGTACAATATAACATTATGTATTAGTGTAGGAGTTTACCGCTAATACGGTACAATATAACACTATGTATTAGTGTAGGAGCTTACCGCTAATAAAGTACAATATAGCATTATGTAATGCTGTAGAAGCTTACCGCTAATAAAGTACAATATAACATTATGTATTAGTGTAGCAGCTTACCACTAATACAGTACAATACAGCATTATGTATTATTGTAGGAGCTTACCGCTAACACAGCACAATATAACATTATGTATTACTGTAGGAGCTTACCGCTAATACAGTACAATATAACATTATGTATTGCTGTAGGAGCTTACCGCTAATACAGTACAATATAACATTATGTATTGCTGTAGGAGCTTACCGCTAATACAGTACAATATAGCATTATGTATTACTGTAGGAGCTTACCGCTAATACGTTGCAACAGAAAAATGAAACTTCAAACCGTTAAGTTTTTACTACTGAGAAGTATCTATCTATCCGCACAAAAATGACAACAAGACTTTATTGTAAAATGCAGAGAAAATTCTTAAGTCAAAGTTGTGAATACTTGCATCAACTCAAGGAAAGCCATCTAGGTAGGCTATGTGCATTAAAAATTAACAATTGTTAATATCTCTCCGAGTCAAATAATACCACAACAGAGGGCGCCAGCTCCAAAATGTCGTTTAAAAGTAATCACGTGATTTGTAATATTTTCCAAAAGGAGTAAAAGAATCACACTTAATAAAAAACTTGCTTGTTTTTATTTGTTTGTTTTTAATTATGCACAAAGCTACACAAGGGCTATCTGTGCTCTGCTCACCACGGGTATCGAAACCCGGTTTCTAGCGTTGTAAGTCCGCAGACATACCGCTAGGCCACTGGGGGGCAAAAAAACTTGCATATTGACATTCAGATAAACGGAACAGATGGTAGGGGAAGTGAGTGGAAATGCACAGAAACCAAAATATTAATTATTTTTAAACTAGTTTTATAATTATTCATATAACTTCAACTCACGATATCGACGCATATTGTTTCGAAAACAATATGTTTAAAAATTTAACTAATAGTTTAATACTTGTACATTGCCAAGACACTGTTGCTTCGATTGTAAATTAATGTTAATTTTGTTTTCTAAGTGGTTTTGATAAGTCTACACGGGAGTTATAAAAGCCTAACCAAATATATCAAAAGCGAGAACACTGTTAGTAGTGTGTTGGTTATAGACAACACACAGAGTGATAAACTTACTGTAAGTTAGTGTGTTGG